TTGTGTATGAAAATGTTTTTTCTCTTGAACAAGAAATAATTCAATAGAACCTTGCTGATGATAGTCCATTTCTGATGTGATCGTTGATTATGTTTCTCTATCGAAAAGATTTTTTCTCTTGAATATCATGATAATCGAAGAGAATCATGCTTATGATAATCGGTTGTTTGTGTGATCTTTGATCATGTTTCTTCTTCAAAGTCTTTTTTGTCTTGAACAACAGAAAAATTGAACAGAACCTTGCTAATGATAGTCCATTTGTCATGTGATCGTTGATCGTGTTATTGTATCAAAATGTCTTTTCTCTTGAACAAGAAATAATTCAACAGAATCTTGCTAATGATATTTCATTTGCTATGTGATCGATGATCCTGTTTCTCTCTCAAAATGGTTTTTCTCGTAAATGACACACAATGGAACAGAACTTTGTTGATGATACTCCATTTTCCATGTGATCGTTCACCATATTTCTCTATGAAAGGCTTTTTTCTCTGATAAAAGGTAATCGTCGAACAGTACCGTGCGTATGATAGCCCATTTTTATGTGATCTTTGAGCATTTTCTTTTCTCAAATGCTTTTTCTCTAAAAGCGCAACATAATGGAGGTAATGCTGGCTAGTGAAGATTTATTTATTCCGTGATTTGTGTTAGGATACAAGAGTCAAGCTTGGTATGGTTTATGTGGCATGATGGAAGAATGCATTGAAGAAAACTATTGAGCTACGATGAAATTCGCTAGTGAGTAAGACGACGGTATATTTTGTTTTAAGAAGGAAATTATAATTGAACAATGGCTTCATTGAAGTCGTTCGTACATGTTGTTATAATTTTTTCGTTAACATCGGTAGGTTCTTATGAATAGTGATGAACTAAATATGTGTATTCTAGTTTTCACGCAGGCATTCAGCTTCGGATTGATAAATGTTATAGAAGAAGTCACGCCTATGATGTGAGGTAGCGTAAGAGTGTATATGAACCAGAGTTAATGTTGATATGCATGTAGATGATAATCATCGACTGTATTCTCAATTTCTATGCGTGTTAGGGAGATCTCAATGTATATGAATACCGATATAGTTTCGATCGTTTATGACAAGTAAGCTAAGTAATTGTGCCAATAATAGTATATATAATCATTATGCTAAAAAATATTCGAATATTCCTGCCTTAGAAACATTCTATTGCTATAGAGATGATTGCAAATGTTAGGTTTGGATAGCATTTTACTTTTTGGATATATGCGTTGGAACAAAATTATAAGAAATAAGTGTCTGAAAGCTAATTATGTTTGGTATAAAAGAAAGAAATGCACACACGAAAAAGACACATTGAAACTATTTAATATCGTTTGATTTTTAAAATATCTTAACTTTTTGTTTTTTGAAATGATAGTGGATATCTTGAGAGTAGGGTATCGGTGTGTGGGTGGGGTTGTGAAGTATAGGTGTTGGTGTCGGTATGAGTCGCGTGTGAGTGTCGGTGTGGGTGTGCGCGACGATGGAGATAGCAGTTACGTCAAGCATCGCCGTCACACCCACACCCAAATCCTCATACAGCCACAACGACAACCATGATGTTCGTAGCACTATTGATGAAAGTAAATGCGATGCACAAAATCTTGATATCGAACAATGTAGATTAGAACATCAAGGTTCTAAAGATTTTATGAGTGCATCAATGAAAGGAAATATTGAACCAGAAAAAGAATTTTTAGGAGCAAATTTAATAAGGGCTTCTTCGCATACTGTTTTACCCATGAATACCACTTCTTCAATGTTGACTTTAATAACTGCAGCTAAAGAAACTGTTGAAACGATCTTCATGTATTCTAGAAGCACAACGTTTGCCTAGTGATGCATTTCAAACGTAATTTACAGTTTATAGTGATTGTGATTATAAAAAGCACAAATTTCTTCAGAGTTCATCTTGGAAGACAAAGTTATGTCATTTGAAATCATTTATGAAAAAAAAATTAAAGCGAACGATTTTGGTGATTATGAAGAAGCGATTGAAATCGAATTGTGGCAGAAGTTCAGCGATGTGAACAGTCAGAAGGAATTTCTCACATCATTTTAATAGGAGATGCTCCAGCAAAGGATAAGAAAGCAATAGACAGAGATAGACAAACATATAGTGTTGAAGCATATTGGAGTAAAAATAAATTTAAGATTCCAACTCATTATACAGTTGAGATACAAAAGTTAAAAGCTAAAACTATTCCTGTTCATGGATGTGGGATGTGGGGGTGGGAGTGGGTGTGAATGAAGTCAAGGCCAGCACCGACACCCACATCCCACACCCTTACATTCAATCTATAAAATTCATTCTACTTCTGGTGAACATTACCTTCATAGACATTTAATAGACAATAATAATAAATTATCGGATAAATTAGAAAATAAAATCATGTAACTACCAAAGGATATCAAGATACAACTTTTCTTAATGAGATGAATATGAATAAAATAACAATAAAATTGTCTACATGAACACGATACCGTTTGAGTCCCGGTGGTACACATATGTACCACCTTGAGAATTTTCTAATCCTTAAGTTTTTGAGAATCTTGGAGAAATATTTTCGATAAATACGAGAAGCCGATAGAGGTCCGTAGAAGCTGGCACGGATGATAGGATGTATGGATGCCATTGAAAAGGTGTACCATGTCAAGTTGCTTTAGTCCGAAAAAGCTTTGACCACATAACCTGATTTTTTTAAAATTTAATATTGTAGTTGATTGCGCTGTGACATATGCCCTATTTAGACATCAAAATTTGTAAAAATTTCTGGGTAAAAATTGTTTTTGTGGTATCGTAAAAACTATGTATGTCAGTAATGAAATAAAACAATGGTTCAGCATTTATAATACCATTTTTTTGTCAAAATGCAACAATAACAAAGATGTTTTAATTTTCCTCTGGTCACGTGCTTTCTTTATTGTAATTTAACCACATGCTTCATGATGTCGCCCAGTTAGTTTATATCAAGTTTCATCAAATTCGGTTCTGTAGAAAAAATTCAGGACTCAAAGGGTTAACACGATATAGGTCGGTCAGAATAGAATCGTTCGTTCTTTTGTTTATAGATCATAATTTCAATTCAAAAAGTTATATTTTCAAATAAATTTAAAAAATAATCAATGAATTCGTTTTATTCGTTATTAACAATTACTTATTACAATGTATTTTGCCAGTGCAGCGAGATTTTTTCGTATAAAACAAACTCACGTATCATCTGTTTATAGTGATTATTTGACAAGGTTATTTCTTCTTTTTTTTTACTGCAACGTTGCTCGATATAAATATAGAATGACATCATATTACGAAATACTCAAACTCTTTTTTCTGTTGTCTTGCGAAATGACATAGAACATACGCGTGTACGTCATTTACTTTTGCAAATTCATACATAAGTTTCATATTAGGAACACAATCATGGCAATCAATAAAGACCATATTTCAGAATTCAAATTAATTTTGATCGGCGATAGTGGTGTTGGTATGTTGGATCATTTGTTGCATTTTCTCTAATATACGATACTGAACGCTTTTAGGTAAAACAACATTTGTTACACCATATATAATAGCCGAATATGAACCGAAGTATATAAGCGACTTTCCTTTTAGTGTGCATCCATTAAAATTTTATACCGATTTGGGTGAAATAATTTTTCATGTTTGGGATACAGCAGGTCAAGAAAAATTTGGTGGTAAGTTAGTAAAATAGTGATCATCATTGATTATTTCTATTGTTTCTTCAATAATAGGTGTACGTGATCGTTATTATCTCGGTGGACAATGCGCTATTATAATGTTTGATGTAACATCACGGATGAGTTATCGAAATGTTCCTCTATGGCATAAAGATATAATTCGTAACTGTGACAATATTCCAATTGTTTTATGTGGAAATAAGATTGATGCGAAAAATCGAAAATTAAAAGCTAAATCAATAACATATCATCGAAAAAATAATGTGCAATATTATGAGATTAGTGCTCTGTCAAATTATAATCTTGAAAAACCATTTCTTTTGTTAGCACAAAAACTAACTGGAAATAATAATCTTCAATTTGTTTCCCAAGTTCCATTATTAGTATGTCTTGATATAATTTGAAATTCTTTTTTTTTTCATAACATTGAATCATTTGATTTTTAGCCGCCTGCAATACATTTGGATCCGGATATACTTCGAGAAAATGAACTTCAATTAATACAAACAACATCTCATCCATTACCTAATGATAGTGATGATGATGATGATTTATAAAGAAAAACATCTACATATGTCAAAAAAAACCAAATATGTTCAACAATGATAATAAATCATTTTTCCTTTTTGGCTATATATTTGTTCTTCTTTGAAAAAATTTTAGTACTAGTTTATGATGTATACTTTGCATGTATAGATCTTACTTTTTCAATCGAGGTTTTTTCAGGTCTTGACCCGAAAAAAACTAAATTTCTGAGGGTGTAGGTATTGCTTCAACAAGAAGAGCTGAATTCACACCCAAACACTTAGAAACAACATGTCAGTCCACATTTCAGCTCAAAAGAGACTGCACTGAAAAGCTGATTGAAATGAAAATACAGTGATTGCAAATATATATATATGTGCATTAAAGATGGAACATTCTGTCTACATATCATAAAAAATAGGTATACGTCGTCATTACAACATAAACAAAAACGAGGCTATGAAGTGTTGTTCTGATGAGTATAAACGACAAAAAAATAGTACATCAAGAGTAACAAAAACAAAAGAAAGTCTAATCGTTGTCACGAAGTTTTGGTTTTTGGGTGTGAACGAGTGTAATTTGTATTGATTGATCATCAAGTTTATAATCATGTCAAGTATTTATTCATTTTTCAAAACAAAAAGAAAAAAATTTATTTTATCTATAGTATTACAGGAATAATCTGAATCGAATAAATACCGTTTAGGATAAGTAAACACTAGATAGCCAATATCATCACAATTATGACATGCTTTTCGTCACTTATGTTGTTGTTGTGAATAACATGTTGCCTATGACGATAAGATGATTGTTGCCATGTTGTTCAGATGCTGTGTTTATACCATTTGTTTGTGTTGTTGAACAAGAAGTCGGCACAAGTCCTTGTGAATTATTTTTATTAGCTGTAACAGCTACTGTTGCTATATTTGGAGCAAATAATCCTGTAAAAGCTATTAGAAAGATACAAGATTCTATTGAATTATAAAGAAATAGATATATAGTTAATCATGTTGCATGATGTTGATTTTGAGATGGACCATTAGATAAAGACAATAAAGAAGGAGGGGGGTAGTGACGGTGATGTAGGTACGCCACCATGGGTTCCATTTGTTACTGTTGCTATTTCAAATAATTTTGAACTTGAACATGATAAAAAAGATGATCGAACACCTTCATAATTAATTAAAATATGTTTGTAGTGATGGCGATCAGAAGTAGATAGTGAATGAATGATTTTATTGTTGTTACATAAGTAGACATTCATCGGTCTTAATAGAAGAAAACTTAATGAAAAACTGAAGATATCTCTGACATATCTAACAAAATCTACCCCGTTTGTTTTTTTTTTCGAACTTGTTTCAGATTTCCTCATTTCTCTTAAATATAAACTGAAATTTAATTCTAATCAAACATTCAAAAAGAACAACAAATTCTCGTTATCGACTATCGTTTGTGATTTCTATGAAAAACGTTTAAATGAATTAGATATTGTGTCTAGAAACTTTTGACTTATTCTTTATGTAAAAGTTTACTTCACTCGTAGAATATCTTCGCAAATAATCTTAATCTTCTGTAAGAATAAAGTCAGATCGATGTATTCTATGAGTTTGAGTTTTTTTCTTCACATCGTATTTCTGATCTGGTTTGTGTACTCTCATGTGTTAGAACTATTGAACGAGCTTGTTTAACTACATCCATCTGTTGTTGAATAGGTAATTCACATTCTAAGAAAATACCAAAACACGTTTATATAAAAAATAAAATATAATACATAATTGAATGAAAGTACGGAGAAGTAAATGAATAGGTATTATGTAATCATACATCATCATGATAAACAATATTTGATAAGTAATCAATAAAAAAAAACCATGAATTATTTGTCGTTGTATTTTTTGTTGTTCCATGAAGAAATTATTCCAAGTTATAATGATCAAGGATAAGAGCTAAGATTTTCCGAAGTTCATTGTATCAATAAGAAAAAATTTACTTCAACTGTTTTATGAATTACAACTTCATATGATCAGTAGAAGTTGATCTTAATACCACTAAACATATTTCATGATCATGGATTCTTTGCTAAACAATCAAACTTCAATATTTTCGATGTGAATGTGGATCTTCTTTCTTAACACACCCGCACTAGATTTTAGTAAACCCAGTGGTCGACGCAAGTTCGTGAAATTTTAGACAAGTGCATGTTCAGTTGCTATCAATCTTATATTTGCACTAAAAATGGACGAAAAAAAAATATCACAAACAAAATGTTTGATGATAGAAATCATTCATTCCATCATCAATCCACAAACAAGAAACATATATTAAAGTTACAGTTTCGATTTGACCATTGTAACCGGTAATCTATAATTGTTTCTGAAATTTTGCACTTCTGGCGATAGAAGAGGTGATTCTATTGATCCATAGCCAGCATCTGCAACAAGCATTTGAGGTGACAGAGATCGTGGTGTGACCGCCATTCGAACTAAGAGACAACAAGCCACTTCTTGACTCTTGTCAAGAATCATTGTTTGTGAGATGTAGAAGGCACGTTCATCCCATCCGACTAAACGAGCAATGAATGTAAATCGGTCGCCTCGTGACACACTCTGCAGATATTGAATCTGAATGGCACTGACTAGGAGAGATGTTTGAGGTTCTTTCTTTCTTCGAATTTTGATCGCGTCCCATAGTCCAGTTTCGCCAAGCAAAGCAAATCGACTAAAATCAGCTTCACGTAAATAGCGAGCATTATTCATATGCCAATTCATATCCATGTCACTCAATCCACAATAATTATGTGTGACCGATTCTATCCAGAGATTTTTCTTCTTTTGTTGACTGAATCGATATCGAAGACGAATATCAAGGGCACGTATAAAATAACCAATATCGAGCATCTTTCTATCAAAAAAAGACCAACAAGATAAAAATATCTTGGAGTACAGTGATTATATCAAAATCATTCTATTGACCAACAGAAGATAACCAATAAAAAAAATAAGAGGACACCATTCTATTGTAAACTGTCGGGAGAGGGAGTATGTTCTCGGCCTCAAGTACATGATTCTTTGCACACAAATAATCAAATTCACGTATTTTCGATGAAACGTTTCTTCTTGATCTTATATTCTACATATTTCAAGATATTTCTATTTTAGACTTCACGGTATATGAAACTAGTATTCAACTCAATGACAAGTATTTGAAAATTCGTTCGCCGAGATATTTCCTACGACCATAATGAATCTTTGTTTAGCAGCAATATGCAAATTGCGATGTAAGTGTAAATAAATCAAATAAGAATTTAGTGCATAAGAAAACTAATGAAGCTATCTGGTTTTTTGACACTCATGTTTTAGCAGGAAGTTGAACTTCTGTTGTTTTTGTCAAATTGATGGAAAATTTCAAGTTCGATTGACTTTAAAAAAGCCGTCATACTTCATCACTGGATGCAGTTTCATTAAGTTGTTTCCGTTTGTTTCTACTACTCGTGACCGTCAATCAACTGATAAATGGTTAAATTTATCGATCAATAAACAACATGTTGTGTGATTATGTATAAAAGAGACGTGTCAATTTACGGATTAAATATTCGAAGGAATCTAGACCTGGCTCTATTAACTTGAGAATCTATTTTCATATCTGAGTTTTCTCAGATATTCATAAAAAAAAAACGTTTTGGCAGTGAAAATAAAGTTTCAAATTTGTACAATGTCTTTTTGAGACACAATAAGAGTTCTGAATTTTTAAATGGTGTTTTCAATGAACTTTATTATTTCTTTGACCTCTGAAGGAGAATGAGGAATCAAAATTTCACTGAAAATGGAAAGTCACAGGAGGAATTTCCAGCAAAAATAAGCCAGTAAAGTTTTTCATATTAATTTCAAATAATACTTTTCTCTGCAGTCAAATAGGGATTCTTCTGTTCGAATATTAATTTAAAAAATCCACCAATTCACTCTAAATTAGAGTAGTTAAAACAAAAATACTTCACTAGACACCAAACTTCAAGTTTAAAGTAAATGTCGTCAGAAACAACACATTGAATTATTTGTTCAACAAAAAAGAAGTCTCGCTAGTTTATAAGATTGTGTGGATGTTGGTAACACACAATTCAATATTCACACCCACATCCACACCCACCCTACTTCTTCTACAGTATTACAACAATTAGAACGTATTTTGGGTTGAAAATGAATGTGATTACTTAATAATTATCAGAAAAGCTTTGCCTATTTTTGATTTAAAAGATAAATTTTGTTTTATATTTAAACAACAAAATATAAAAAGTTCTTTTATTATTTTAAACAGAATAAATATTAAAACTTTATCAGAATGAAATTTGCTCTAATTTTTAATACATTCGACAAAATAACATTCTTTAATCTTAAGATTTTCAACAGACATTATTTTCTTGATTGATTAATTTTCAACTAAATTTATTTTTTCAGACATCCACATATTATTTTTTTACAAAAAAACAATATGTGTAACGAGTAAACATATGCAACTATTGAATGCTATTAGACTTCACGTGATGATTATGAATAGGTTTCAGTAAGACTAAAAAAAATTTAATAGGATTTAGATCTATGATCCGTTTTATTAAGAACAAAAAATTTCTGGAAACTCCAAAACAAAGAATCACGAAGTTTTTTTTCAAAAACTATCGCGACGCTGGAGAGACTTTCATAAAACGGACGCGCCCATGGAATAAAAACATGGCAAAAAATGATATCGAAAATGAAAAAATTGCCATTTTTCATCATGAAATGGACATTTCTCATGCATGTATTTCAAAATCATGCACGACTTTGGCACGTAAATCAGTCCATAAAAATGATTAAGAGTGTGGGTGTGGATGCGTGTAAAAGTCTTGTCTTTACTCGCATCCTGCCGTCACCCACACCGAGTCACAATACCAAAATACCTTTATTCCATATTTCGCAGGCTTGTTGCGCTTATACTGTCGAAATTTACCACGACCATGAGTAGGTATTAGTTGTTAATCGACTGTTATTGAACCGCCTGGAATATAGCATATCTCTAGCTATACTAAAACCATAGTCTGAAATTCACTAATTGAAGCCAGTTTGTCTACTTTTATTATTGTCTCCTGTTTTGCTGCATCATTAAATCTGCAGAATCGCAGTAGACTGTCCATGCAATTCTTTGTCATGGTCTCCTGGAATATGAATCGACCGTGATTTATTGACCATAATTCGTAGAGATGTTCATTTTGAGATCATTGGATGCCTCCAAGTGCCAACAGTCCAAAAAATGCCCAAATATCTTCACTATATTTGTCTCTCTGACGATCATAGATATCATTTCTTCTCTAAATAAAAGTTGGCAAGTATCTTTTACTGTTTGTAATCTTGCTGCTGGACGTCCGATACCATGTTGTTGCCGTAGAAGGATGTGAGTGTGAATGAAAATAATACTAACAGAAACTCACACCCTCGTGTGTTCAATATAAATATATTATTCATGGGAAGTCAATCTATCTAAAATCGATAGCCAAGAAAAAATTCTGGATAACCATTTACTCCATATACTAGTTATTGAAACATGAGGTAACTAGATGAAAGAAAGAAGAAAAAAAAAATATTTTTATAGATGAGACTATTCAAATGTATACTTGTTTGTTGTCACTATTGATCCATAAGTGTATAGTAGGATAATATCGATTATGACATCGATACGTAAAATTAAGTCCATTTTGACAATCTACACTCTCACGTTTAAGCCAATCTTGCATGAGACGAAATGACTCTTGTGCATTGATATCAAGAGACCAATTTAATGAAACAAATGATAATGATGATTTCAAATGTTTGAGAATATAACAAACTTCTCGATAAGATTCTACACGTGCAATATGTATACGTTCGAGATGTGAAAATAATTGACATAATCGTGATGCACAACTGACTCTATGAATATGAAGTATACGAATTTGTTCAATATTATTGATTTGTTGTTGACGACCTATTGGAAGAGTTTGAAGATGAAGTTGATATACTCGAGGTAAAAGATTTGGAAACAAACATTCAAGATCATTGATTGAAACAGTATAAAATAACTTTAGACAATATACTTGTGTTAAATCTACAATAAATTGTAAACGATTGAATACGTTTGAATTAGATAATGAAAGTATTTTAACATGTGTAAAACGATAATCTGGTATTGGTTCTTGTAAAGATTTCGAAATTGTCAATTCATTGATACAATCATAGAAAAGAGATTGATCAGATGTAATAGTTGTATATATTGGTAAACGAAATGATGAAAATGTACTATAATAAGCAGATTTATCAGCAAAACGAGGTACGGTGAATAGATGTGATGGTCGATTATTATATGCTATAAACCATTGTTTTTCTTCAAGCCAAAATGATGAACAAAATGAATTGATTAATAAATATGGAAAATTGACTATATCATGTTTGGTTGTAAAATTAAAATTGAATGTAATAAGATATTTGGTTAGAATTGACCATCGTTCACCATTACATAAATCAACAAGATTACCATTGATTTGCAATTCTAAATGTTTAAGATATGGTAATTTTAATAAAAACTCTTCAATATCAACCATTGACATCCATACATCTAAAGGAAGAAATTTATAAATTAGTTTTTGAAAACGAGTAATTAAGATCCTCTTCAAAAAGTTGGTTCATATGTCGAAAAAAATTTTCAGCCTTATGTCTTTTGATTTGTTGGAGCTTTCGCAATTTTAGTATACATCAGTAGAAACACTGTATTCTTTTCGGGATCTGTTCGCATCTCCAATGGCATTCGACTATCTTAAAACATAGGATGAAATTGGTTAGTGACTTACCTGATTTTTTTTTTTGTTAAAAACCGGTCTTAGTCGAAGAAAAATGTTTTAATTATTTATTATGTTATCGAAATTTCGCTGTTTTCACAGAATTTTGCAATTTTTCTGAGGATTTGCACTTGACACATAGCTGAAAGAGTAATAAAAAGAAGAAAATCAAAAAAACGAAGATCACTACCGTCACTAACCTCAAATGTCTTCTTAAAAATAGAAAAATATGTTTCATCCTATGTCTTGCGGTAGTCGAATGCTTTTAGAGACGCGAAAGACTTCAAAATAGGTACTATACATGTGTCGTTTTTCATACCTAAATTTAATACAAGTCGTTTTAATTGAGTTGGTACTTTGTCCATTGTCTTCCATTGACCTCCTGTATGATTCGTAACATCAAGAGACCAGAGCATTGGCAATAAACTTAAGATCTGTTGTAATTCATTTATTGTACAATTATGTACAGTTAAATATCGAAGATTAGATAAAGAAATCATGACACAACTTGCATTGTATACATCAAGCTGTTTTAATCGATAAGGAAGTAATTTCGTAATTGTGCAATCTGGTATATTTTTGTTTGATAAATCATAACGAATAATTTTGAATGATTCAAGATATTTATTAATGTTACTATTAGTTAAATTGTCAATCAAATTCAATAATAAATCATTTTCAATATCAATTAATGTTATTGAACGAAGAGAAGTAAATTGTTCAATATTGAATAGAGTAAAAAAGATTTGAAATTGTTCAGGTGTATCATCACTATTTGATAGAATAAGTGAAATAATTTGATGTGGTTGAATATGAATACATATAAAATCGAAATGTTTTTTAAGACAAGATCGAAAATTAATATGATATTTTTCATATTTTAATAAAGAACTATCAAGATAATAATTAATATTAGAAAAAGCATTAAAAATATCAATTGTTGATAAATAATGAAAAATTTCATGTAATAATTCAACGGGTAATAAATTTAATAGTAGATAAGAATTCGACATGCAAATAAAAAAAAAAAATTTTTTTTTTGTAATAAAGTTGAACTAATATTATTGCTATGCAATAAATATTTTCGTTATTGCGATGATAACATGCATCGTCAGCCTGTGCAAATGATGCGTGAAATGAAGAAAAAAAACAACACTTTGCACATGGACTTGTGTACAGAATGGTAAAGAAAAGGGTCAATAAGTGCGGGAATTTATCCACTCGATAGATCTGGTTTCTTCTATGCAAAACAGTTACACAAGGTGTTCCAAAATTATCTATAGTACATCATGATGTAAAACGTGAACTTTATCGAAAAAATATATTAGAGTCCAAGAGATACTATCGAGCTTCTTACACAAATTTGAAAAATACATTATTTGGACGATAGCTTCAAGTCAAGCTATCTAAACAATCATAATTGTGTCAAAATAACGACTGCTAGCAGATACTCTTTAGTTGCAAACGATGAATAATAAGGTACAATTGCTGTTTCATAAGTTCCTAAGACTGTATTGTATCCACATTTTTCTTTGAACTGAAGTGTTTTCTCATGTTTTTGACTCCCAGTGACTGTACGTTCACTAATCCACATCGATTATTATCCTTCATGTGATTGAATAGATCAAATTTGATGAATACTACAAAGACCTTTTTTTTATACAATTGACTATTCGATCGTGCTCTTGTGGCGTAAGTGGACACGCATCTGACTTCGAACTGGTAGTTAGATGGTTTGGATTCGTTCATCAATCATGATTACTTAATCATTCTGAGTGTCAGAGTCGAATAAGATCTAATAATGAATCATTGTTGAACGGATTCTTCCAATTCATCTAGAAACTGAGTATGGAAGTTGATATGTTTCTTTCTATTGATCCACACCTTCGTTTCGACTGTCCTTATTAAGATAGATGTTTATGATTAATTTTACAAAAAGAAAATATACATGACTAGGTAGGTGAGGGCAGACCCGTTACCAACAAGTGAAATAGTTATGTTTAGAAGTTAATAGCTCGTATATTTAACATTATTATCATGAATCTGAATAAGTAGAATGCATATTTATTTCTATGTATGAATTTCAAAAATTCAATTACATCTTCTATTTTGTTGAATGAGAATGAATTGAACTTCAAAAAAAAACAGAAAAAATCTTTTTTTTTTATTATATCATCACAAAGAATAAGATTGCACATATGCACAAGAAATATTGTTTTTTTTTTGCTATATACATTATGTGTAATAAAATGTTTTCTTAACATTAATTCCATATTCTCCAAGAACATGTGTTAATTCATTAAGTGTTAAAGTTTGATTTGTTGATGTTATTGGTTTTTTACTACTAGCTGCATTTGTCGATTGATCAGTAGTTGTAGCTATTGCTTCAGTTGTTGAAGGTTGAACATTTGCAGCAGCCACTGCTGCTGTTGGTGCCGGTCGATTAGTGGATTTTTCACGTATTTTATGTAATTGAAAACAATCATTAATAATATCTTAAAAAATAAATCAAACACTTGTTTTTTTTCTTTTGTATGATTTTCTTCTTATATTAAAATACCTGTCATAAATTTTTGTACAGAAACAGACATTAATTTAATAACTCGATCATCATCTGTTTGTAATCCACATTGTCTCATATAATATTTTGTAACTGTTTCTGGTATAGCAGGTGTAAATTGATCTAATGTTGATGTAAATTTATTTAAATCTTCATCATCAACTAATGTTTCATCACCACTTGATGATGAATCTTCAATACTCTCAGTCATTTATCTATTAAAAAATAAAATGCAAATATCTTTTTAATAAATGCTTTATTTAAGAAAAAATTTTCAAGAAATTTTTTTTTTTTATTCTTTTATCATAACACCAAACGTCTATAGAAAAAAAAAAATATTGCTGCTTTTTTTTTTGTTGTTTTAAAGGACAAGACATTTGTCAGCAAGAACGAATAGATGATACCATTGAATACCATGATAAACAACGCCGGAAACAATTGATATTGAATGAAATAAATTAAATCTATTGTTCACAACACGATACTTCGAATCATTACGAATTAATCGTTCAATATCATCACTTGTCTATAAAATAAATAGAAAATTATTTATAAAATAAATCAGATAAATATATATATATAGATATATACTTTAGCTGCTTGTAAAAATTCAATATTATTTCGATCAAACATTAAATTTGTAACCAATGGATTAAGAACAAGACTATTAAATTCAACTGCAGCTAATGCAACAAATAATGCAATACCCTATTAATATTTTATTACTATAATATGAGCGTTTTTGTTTTTGTTTTATTATACAAACCAAATTTCTTGCGTCTATTGACCATGTTTTTATTGGATGATGAAGTAAAAATGTTCCTAAACTTAAACTAGCTAATACAGATGATGATGCAAAATAAACATCTGATAAATATGATTGTACTGTTGCAAATTCTTGACGTGTTAACATACGTTGAACAGCACGACCTAAATAAGATTATTAAAAGTCATAGAAAAAAAAAAAAACCGAATTTATTCTACCATGAACAGTTGTCATCCAAAAACTAATACCAAATCCACCGGCAACACCAATTAGATGTAAAAATGAAACTTTAGAAGATGATATAACAGGTTCATTTTGTAACAAAGTATATCCAACATAACCTAAAGCACCCAGTGATGTAAGAAATGATGGAGATAAATACCTGAATAAAATTAAAATAAAAAAAATGATATTAAACAAAATGAAGATTATTTTTATATTAACCAAGCTTGTGGCCATGTCTTTTTATATGTATCATGGATAGTATCTTCAGCTTTGCTCACTTGTGCTCCCATTGTATGATTAGTTGCTCTTGTAAATAACGATAATATCGACAATATATGAATGAGAATGAAAAAAAAAACAACGTCATTTATTTGGTTTTGAATAATAACTTGACAATGGTGAATTTAGCGCCACCTTTTATATAATATAACAAAAAAACACTCCTATGTCTCAAAATATGAACATTTTACTAATATTAAGAACATAACTGTTGTAATTCTTTTTATTTCCATAATTTACATTCATATTCATTGGTACAAAGATTGTTGATTGAAAAAAAAGAAATATCTGATTGATCAACAATAAAACCAATGAGAAAGAATTTCGAATATCAATTGTTCATTGATCGTATTCATGATCAATCACGAGATATAATCCAAAGTATATGGAGATCGTCAAGGGACGAAGATCGAGCATGGTTTTTTTTGGCAATTAATGATATAAAACGCGTAAAAGTTTGTTTGGAAAACTTTTAAAAATAACATTGATATATGTATTAATGAATTTAGTTCTTGAACAAACTATTGACGATACTAATATGTTTATTAATAAATGTTCAATTATTGTTTTGTAATTTTTTTCTTATAAATTTTTAAAATAAATTTATTAATATCTATTTTCTAGACGAAAATGGATAACAAACGAGACATTAAACAACAAATGTGATGTACTACAATATTACATCATTAGTATGTTAATCATGTAGATTATTGATCTTGTTGAGTAAATATTCTCATTCAGAAATTGATGACAATAGTAAAAAATAAAATTATTGTATCGAATATCATAGTCTTTTGATTACATATATATATATTCAATTAAAGATGGATTAATGATTACGATATCATTCATATGATTTATTTTTATTCAAATTTAGTAGCATATGAAGAAGGATTAAAATATATTCATATAATGTTACATACAGACAATAAAACAAGCTACGCTTCTATTTTTATTTTATAGTAGAATATTTTTGTCACAATATAAAGTTATGTATGTAAAAAAAAAATAAAAATTGATCTATATTTGGTAATGCAACAAGAATTAATACTGATTCATTTGAGATATGATATTGTTATTATGAAACTAGAATAATGCTCGTACGTCAATTTATATATTATTTTAAACTTTAAAAAAAAAAAAAAAATAAATAAATCAATTATTTTTCTAAATAGAAAATTTGTTTTTTTTTTATTTTGATTTTAATGACTTTCGTATAAAGTTTATAATAAGAAATGAATTGAATGTGAACGAATTTTCTGAAAACAAATCTACAAAATGACACAAGTAATGAAGAATTTTGATTAATTCAAAGAAAAAAAACGACAGAGTTGTGACGAGAGGTTTATTTTATGTTACAAACGGGCAAACACACAAAATTCAGACTCTAGTAAATTGATAATGCATTTAAGTAAAGAAGAACACAATTCATTTTTTTAGTCTACGTTTAAGCTGAGTTATTGTCTTTTCAATATCCAAATACAAAAATCTCTTTTTTTTTTTCTGTTCGACATTACATATTGCTTTCATACAACTTTATCCAGGCACCAACACTTTATCATTAACATTCACATACGTCACTAAGTATGAGTGTGTGTGTTTATTCTTTTTCTCTCTTCGTGCTTATAAATTAAAACCTTTCTTTTATCTTACTAGTAAACATATACATCATAGATACGTTCTTTAACATGTTCTAATGCAAAAAAGAAAAGAAATCTTATATACATATTTGTTTTATACTTTATTTAAGAATATCAATGACTACTTGTTATTTATCGAAAGATCAACAAATTGAATTAACTCAAATAGCTCAAAGTTTAGCTACATTGGGTAAAGGAATTTTAGCTGCAGATGAACCAGCAGGTTTGTTATATAAAAATTTATTTTTTTTTGTTATTGAAAAAAAAAAAACAAAAACTTATTTAGATATCATTGAATCACGTTTTTCACCAGTAAATATTGAAAATACTGAAGAAAATCGTCGATATTATCGTCAAGTATTATTTCGTACAAAAGAATGTTCACAATATATAAGTGGTATTATATTATGTCATGAAACATTTCATCATAAAACTGATGATAATAATACATTATTTCCTTGTTTAATAAAAGAAAATGGTATTATAACAGGTATTACAGTTGATAAAGGTTTGGTTGTATTAGGTGGAACAGAGAATGAAACAATAACACAAGGTTTATAAAAGAAAATTAAAATTAAAAACAGAAGAAAAAAATAAAAACCGATTATTTTTTCGTTAATATAGGTTTAGATAGTTTGGAAGAACGATGTCGAGAATATAAAAAACTCGGTGCACAATTTGCTAAATGGCGAGCTTTGATTAAAATTAGTCATCATACTCCATCACAATTAGCAATTAATGAAAATGCATCAGCACTTGCTAGATATGCTTCAATTTGTCAACAGGTAAATATCGAATGCATCAAAAATTCTATGAATCAGGACTTATTCCTAAGAAAACTTCTTTCTTCTTGCGATTCTAACAAGACTGAAAATCGCTCGGTAGAGACTAGTAAAAGTCTAGGACTTCATTAGTCTCAAATAAAAATAGATATAAAGTTCTGATCATTATCTATAGGTTTTTGACTACTTGAAAACATTTCAAAGAGAGTCAAAAATTTTGATGCATCCTTTATTTTTCACTTAGTTAAATGATTCTATTTATTTTTTTAGTGTGGTCTCGTACCTATTGTTGAACCAGAAGTATCTCAAGATGGTGATCATGATCTTGAAGAATGTCAACGTATATCTGAAAAAGTTTTAGCAACAGTTTATAAAGCATTAAATGATCATCATGTTTACCTTGAAGGAACACTTCTTAAACCTAGTATGGTTACTCCAGGTAAAAATAAAAACAAGATTTTGAAATCGTAAAAAAAATGAAGTGAAATTGCTCAATAGTTACTAATATTATTGATGAGAGAAATTTACTCTTTTTGAAAATTTGAACACTGCCACTTAGGATAAGAACTTACATAATAAATAGTCAAGTACTTCTACTTGATTTACACTACTAATGTGGAAAGATATATTTCCCTATCAGTCAGTAGATAAGGAATAGTGAGCGTGTTTAGAACGCGACGAGGATGGGTCTTGATCGGAAATTTTGTACTCTTTCTTTCTATTTACCTACATACACATCAGTTATGAATACTCATTGTGAAATCTTTTACGCATATGATAAAAAAAGGTATCAAGCAGCTTAAAACTTTGGTTAATTACTATATCTATAGATAGACGTATAAGATGATGCATTATTCGAAGGCGGCAATTGACAACTTTCTTATCGATCATGAAGATCGAATATATTTAAAAACTTCGTATTTAGTTTTATTGAATATACCATGACTAATGTCTGTGATAGTTTTAAAAAAATGGCTATCTGTGACTTTCAGCAATCTATATATTTTGCCGATATGATGAGTTGCAATGATTTTATCGTATATAGCGCCAGATAAAAAGACGTTCGTTGTATTCTTCTTTTAATTTCTGATTATCATAATTCGTTTGTCGTTCTCTCTAGTTATTGAACTTACATCTACATTCATAAGAAGAACATTCTCATCTCAAGCTTCTTAACTCAATTTTAATAAATCTTCTAGGTAAAAATTCAACAAAGAAATATTCAATTGAACAAATTGCAGAAGCAACTGTTATTACATTTCGTCGAACGGTACCAACTGCTGTACCAGGAATAATGTTTCTTTCTGGTAATGATAATTAATATAAAAGAATTGTTTAATATTTTCTTCATTTAGGTGGACATAATGAAGAAAATTCTACACTTTATTTAAATGCTATTAATCGTGTTCAACTTTATAAACCATGGATATTATCATTTAGTTATGGACGTGCACTTCAATCATCAGTTTTACGTGCTTGGAAAGGTGATAAAGCTAATGATGAACAAGCACGAAAAGAATTTCTTCGTTTAGCTAAAGTAAAAAAAAAAACTTTCATTCAAAAAGAAAATAATATTTTATCTTTTTTTTTTATTTAGCAAAATAGTCTTGCTTCAATGGGAAAATATGAAGCAGTCATTTAAATCAAATATTTTTTTTTTTTTATATTAAACATTCCTAATAATAAATAATAGATCGATTAAATTGATTATGATTATTTTCTAGATTATGTTTCGTCATAATTCATCATCATCAATGAAATATATATTAGTTACTGGTGGTGTTATTAGTGGCATTGGCAAAGGTATTATTTCGTCAAGTATTGGTACAATACTTCGTTCTCATGGATATCGTGTAACATCAATTAAAGTATTATTGAAAATAATATTATTTACAATAATAGAATAATTATTGATTTTATTTAGATTGATCCATATATAAATATTGATGCAGGAACATTTTCACCATATGAACATGGAGAAGTTTTTGTACTTGATGATGGCGGGTAATTTACTTTTTTTTTTTTTTAATTAGAATGAAAATAAAAGTATTCATTCTACACTAGACTAAAGATCTAATCATTTGAACTAAATTGTATTATAAAAAAAAATTGATAATTATATATAAACTATATCAATAGAATTGAGATATTTTAGAATGTGAAATACATCATATTTTATTGTAAAAAAATCGGTAAGAGAATATTTGCTAAATGTGTGTCAAGCTTTAAAAAGTTTTCAATATGCTTTAATGTGCACTAGAAAATTTGTTTTTTTTCAATTAATCGATTATCTTGAAAATGAGCTTTTTTGTTAGGAATAAATTAGACAAATTGCTTGATTTAAAAACGAAAAAAAATTTTTTTTTTTATTATTCGTTTCTAGTGAAGTTGATTTAGATTTGGGTAATTATGAAAGATTTCTTGATGTAACATTACATCGTGATAATAATATAACAACCGGTAAAATCTATCAATATGTTATTGATAAAGAACGTCGTGGTGATTACCTTGGAAAAACTGTACAAGGTTAATTAAATAACTTATATCTTATTTTAATATATTAATTTTGTTTTTTTTCTAGTTGTACCACATATAACAGATGCAATACAAGAATGGGTTGAACGTGTTGCACGTATATCTGTTGATGAAGATAAAGCTGAACCAGATATATGTATAATTGAAGTAAGATTGTAAAGAAAAATTCTCATATGAACATATATTATTTTTACTTTTGTAGCTTGGTGGTACAATTGGTGATATTGAAAGTATGTCATTTGTTGAAGCATTTCGACAATTTCAATTTCGTGTAAAGAAAGAAAATTTTTGTTTGGTTCATGTCAGTCTTGTTCCACAAGTTTGTATTAAATAGAGATTATTTTTGTCTTTTTTTTTGTATAACATCTTTTTTTTTTTATTTCTATAGCCAAATTCAACTAATGAACATAAAACTAAACCAACACAACATAGTGTAAAAGAACTTCGTGGTTATGGTTTAACTCCTGATCTTGTTAGTAAATACTTTTGTTATTTCAAAATAGGAATTGATATCTTTCTCTTATTTGTATGTGTGTGTCTAGATTATCTGTCGATCTGCTACACCAATGCCATTATCAGCTAAAGAAAAAGTTTCAATGTTTTGTCAAGTTGATAAAGAACATGTAAATAAATAATATATATTTTGTTTTTTCTTCGTATCTCTATTAAATTATTATTTTTATTCTATTCAAGGTTATTTGTATACCTGATGTCAAAACATTATTTCGTGTTCCATTATTAATGGAAGAAAATGGTGTGTTTAATTTTTTAACAACACGTCTTAATTTAGTTCCAAAATCAAATTATGATCGTTCACTTATGATTAAATGGCGTGATCTAGCTGAACGGTAATAAATATTCAATTAAAAAAAGAAAAAGAAATACAAGAAAACATATATAAAAAGACTAAATCATAAATGATACTACAGTAGTATTAATCAACCTGTTGAATTTGTAACACTAGTTGTATTTGTAACACTACTTGTATTTGTAACAGTAGCTGGATTTAAAGTATTAGTTAAATCTATATTACTGATAAGACCAGCTGCACCAATACCGAGACCTAATCCTAATATCATACCAATAAAAATAGTAGCAGCTAGAACACTAATGATTATTATTAATGTTTTACCACCGGCAGCATTTTGTTTTGGGATTCGAGAAATTGGTGAAGGAACAAGTGGACTAAGTTGAGCATAACCATAAGGAGCATTGATATTTGGATTATACATTATGCACTTGAATATGTTCTAATCATTCGAGCAATAACAACAAAATAAAAGACACAAACTTCTAATTTAGTTGTTATAGTTATAAGAACACAATATAACTATATATTATTACTCTATGAGGCGTGACAACGATATTCAAGAACAGCAAAAAAAAATAATTAAGAGAGAACTAGTGATATCATAGAGTAGTCGAAACACGGTAGTTAATTTTCTTTTTTTTCTGTACTCGACATATCAATGTCTCAAATCATCAACCTAAAAATATATTTCATGATTGTTTTTTCTTTGAAATATTAGTTACCACCGTTTTTTTTTATCGGTATTCTATTAGTATGACAAATAAACAATAACAACAACAAAAAAAAAATACACCTGGTTAAAAATTCCGTTTGATTTCATTTCAATAAATTACTCAATTGTTTTTATGAATCATATTACAAAATAGTAAATTAATAATTCAACAAAATGAGCTATTTCAGTATAATATAATGAAATAAATTATTATATGTTTAAGAAATATTCAAAACTAAATATCTTCATAGCAAAACAGGGCGCACATATCTCTCTCTCTTCTATTTTATAGTTTTGTTCAATAGAAAAAAAAACGGCATTTAAGCAGTTTCTATTGTCATTATACAATTTTAAGACAAACTAAATACGATATATCTTTTCTTGTATAGAAAAACTATTAAATAGAAGAAATATAAGTCCAGTTTCGCTACGAAGAGATCATTTAGTTTTCAATAATTTCGAAACATTTATTATAGAGAATACAAAATTATCTTGGATATACATATATAATTTAATTTGAAACTCTCTAATTCTCAGTTGCAATAAAAGAGAAATTTTTCATTCATATTGACATTATAAAAGCTGTTGACAAAGTATTTTTTTTGTTCAGATAAATCGAAGTATTGAATATACAAAAGAAATATATAAAACTATTTATCATATAAAAATTTATTCTTATTTTCTTTTCATTTACAGAATGGAAAGACAACTTGATGAAGTTACTATAGCTCTTGTTGGAAAATATACAGCATTAGAAGATGCTTATGCATCTGTAGTTAAATCACTCAATCATGCTGCACTTTTTTGTAATAGAAAACTAAAAGTGCTTGTAAGACATTAATGTTTTTCTTTTTTGTAATTTTTCATTTGTATATTTATAAATTTTATTTAGTTTATTCATGCTACTGATTTAGAAGCCAATACACAAAAAGATGATCCAGTTAAATATCATGAAGCATGGCAACAATTATGTAGTGCACAGTAAATATAATGTTAATATTTTTAAATTAATTTTCTATTTGATTTTTTTGTTTTTGTTTTCGTTCAGTGGTATTCTTGTACCTGGTGGATTTGGTTCACGTGGTATTGAAGGTAAAATAGCAGCTATTGAATGGGCACGTACACAATCAAAACCATTTCTTGGTATTTGTCTTGGTCTTCAATGTGCTGTTATTGAATTTGCAAGACATGTTTTATTATATAAAGATGCAAATTCATCAGAATTTGATAAATGTGAACATCAAGTGGTATATATTATATTTATTCTTAGTGTTTTATTTTTTACTTTATTTATATTTATTAAATAGGTTATTGAAATGCCTGAACATAATCCAGGAGTGATGGGAGGTAAATAAATTTATTTATTTTGTAAGAAAACAAAAAAAAAATAGTCAAGTATTTTATTTTATAGGAACAATGAGATTAGGTCGACGAACAACTCATTTTGTTACTGATGATAGTGTTCTTAGTATGTATCATTTTTGTATTTCAACTTCTAGCAGACAATTCATAAGAAAGGAATTCTTGAACAAGAAAAAAAAAGAATTTAGCTTTACAGACCGTCAGAATTTAAAAGAAACAAATGGTATTTTATTGGATGAACTAAAGTTTAGTTCTTTAACATCTATTAGACTTTACATAGAGATAGATCTTAATGAAAAAAATTCATTATGAAAATTTCAAGTCTTTTGATTTACTTCTAGTCTGAAATGAGAATATCGAATTTATCATTATAGATGAGCAATATAAAAAGATACCCTTTAAACATAGCTGGATTTTAAGATAAGAACAACAATAAGATCTAAAACATTCATAAAAAAACTATTTTCTTCCAGCATTATCTCTATGCAAAATTTCAAGTCGAAATTCGAAAAACCGATCTTTCTATTACTAAAAATGCAATATTTCTGTAGCAATAAGCTAAGGGTCTGACATTTTTTCAGGATATTCCTCGTTCATTTGCTTTTGCATACTGTACGTATCTGTATTTTGTATTGATTCATTATAGAACAATTGCTTTCTAATTTGTAGAAAAACTCTATGGAAATGTGGATTCTGTTGATGAACGTCATCGTCATCGTTATGAAGTTAATCCAACATATATTGATGCATTTGAAAAAGCTGGAATGAAATTTGTTGGTAGAAGTGATGATAATGAACGTATGGAGATTCTGGAACTTGAAAGTAAATTAGAAAATTATTTTAAATCAAATAATACATTTTCTCGTGTTTTTAAGATCATCCGTATTTTGTTGGTGTACAATATCATCCAGAATATATATCACGTCCATTAAAACCATCTGCTCCTTACTTAGGACTTATTTGGGTACATACTTTACTTATATCTTAATTTTATTTTGATTATTTTTCTGTTGTTTAGGCTGCTTGTGGTGAATTGAAAAATATATTAACAGTTGTTACAAAACAACAATCACCCATAGATATTACAACTAAATCTCCTGGTCCTTTTTCTCATGTTAATCTATTTCGTCATACATGAATCTAAATTCATTGTTTTTCCTATATTGTTTAGGATAACCTTTATTGATGTTTCAATGTCTAAATTTCATAAAGGAAAATAAATCATTTTTCTTGATAAAAATCTATGTTAAAAAATGAACATAAAATTTAGTTTATTCAAAATTCATAAATTGCATCTATCATGTAGGGTTTTCGTTAATCAAAAGAAAAAAAAGAATTTTAATTCTTTGTTGAAGTTTCATTTTGATCATAATAGGTGAAATAATTCGTATACAAAGTGGTGGCAAAAAGTTGATTGATATTACATATAAAAAATATGTCAGTTTTGAACTGCTTTCATTCATAAGATGATTCAACATACAATCATATAGTAGGGTAAAGAAACCTTGAATGATAGAGTAACCATTATCATGACCATAAAGTTTTCTATTACTCTCCTGAATTGAAAGAAGATCCGCTGTCACTGCAGCATTCTTTGGGGCAATTAGAGCTGAAACACAGTGCGTCTTGTTCTTTCTATCATTTGCTGAATGCGTTAGAAACGAAAATAAAAGCACTAAGAGTATCTCTAATGCAGTGAGATTTCTAAAATTTTTCGATTAGTCAAAAGTTTGTGAGATATATAAAAATTAATTAACAAAAAGTTGTTACAAAAGAGTGAGTATACACTCGATTTTGATTAAAGTTGTAATAGAAAAGCTTCAGTTCAATTAAATCTAGTCTTTAAGAAACGATGAAGAAAAGTTTTGTTTTTTTTTTTTTTATAAAAAAGACAATCACGAGCAAAATAAGAAAGAATATGAAACATTGTCTGCTCCCGTAGTGCGATTTCTTTTTCAGTTGAAATATGGATTTCGATTTTCTATTCTTTTTCAGTAGATAGGAAATACTTCAAACTATATATCGATTAGCAAAAAAACGAAAACTTTAAGAAGTTTGGATCACGATTTGCAAAACAGAAAGTTTTCTTAAAGAATAACATTTTTCTCTTTTTTTTTCTTTGAGAAAATAATCATGCCCTGAAAGGATTACAATTCAAAATCTGAGTTATAACACTCAATCCGAGAATTAGTTTTTATGGAAGTGGGTGGGGAGTGTGTGCCTGAGTTCTTATTTCTTTCTAACAATACACTCACATCCACCTTCAAAATGATCAAAATTGTTATAAAAAGACTTCTATGAAGTTTATCACATAAAGAATTATAGAATGAATTATATATTCTTTCTTATTAAAGCAAGCACAAAAACGAATGCGCCCGTTGTTTCTATGATCGACTTCTAAAAAACTTATTTAAATCTCGATAATCTTCATGTAATTTGAGTAATTCTGCATGATAATTGGCTGACATTTTTTCTTGATCTTGAATGTCAGTTTCGGCAGTTCGAAGAGAGTTCTTCAATCTTTCAAGTAAATCGATGCATTGATGACGTTTGCCATATATTTGGAACATCAATATGTAATACGAATAGTGACCACGAACCTGACCAATATTTGCATTTATTTGATTCTTGTCATCTATTAATTTAGTAATCTGAGTGTTCAACTGAGCACTTTGTGACTCCTTGTCATCTCTTAGCTTCTTTCGGTAATCAACAAGTTCTGACCATGTTTTAGTAGCACTACTTTTGAAAGGAGTCGAACTGAAAACGATTTCACGAATTTGTTTCAATGTGTTTTCGTTTTCAACATTATTACAGTGAATATCATTATAGAATGTAAAAAATTTCGAAAATTGATATTCCAACGCTTTACAGATATCATTAGTCATATTTTTGAATTGAGTATCAAAATTCATAGTCGGATCTTTTTCTACTTTCACTTTTTGTTCATCTAAATTGGGTATTTTG